TTTTTCTTTATTTTCTTTTCTAAGTTCTTCACCTAAGTGCGTCTTACTTGTAAAGTTACATTTGTTTCCCTAGATCTCAGCCACGTGTATGGCTGAGATCATTAAGCAACTGTCGAGTTGGTTAGGCTTACATTTTCCTCTTCTTCTTCTTTTTCTTCATGCTCTATAACAAATGGATATATAGAGCTCAAACAATGCTCGTGCGAGATATATGATAATTGGAGTTTTCCAGATATTTTTTTTTTCTCGCCATTTCATAATATGAAAGTTTTTAAACAGTGAATTAAAGTTGATGCGATTTGAAAGACTATTGATTGGTATAATTTAATTATATTGATAATATTGAAAAGAGTTGTGTTTAATTAAATATTTAGTTATAGCATGGAAAAAAACAATATACATATTAGTTATTATACTACATTTTTTTTTTTTTAAAAAAAAATCAACCTATAACGAACAAATTTTCTAATTCGCTATAATGAGATGCTGAAATTTTCATTTGCACTTTCAACCAAACTATTGAAGTGCATAATTGTGATTGCAGATTTTTATTTTAAAAAAAAAAAAAAAAATGGTTGGTCGTTAGTCATGTGAGAGTTTTAAAATTTGTCAACGGTTGGGACACTTTCAGGCAACTAACATAACATTATTATCAAATTCCTCTGACACCAAAGCTACAAAATTATGACCACCACGTTGCCTTTCTTCATCATCCTAAATACATTCTTACTTCATGTATTTCGATTCGTATAACTAACTATATTCAAGTTAGAGTCGAGCAATGGTTTTATCGAACAAAAAGTTTAATATCTTCATTATTGCTTGAGCCCATACTTGATGAACTGAGATTTTTTAAGACTCGATTCGACTTGATAAATATTATAAGCAAGTGCTCTATATTCACTTGAATTTTATGAGCTCGACTTTTGACTCGAAATCGCCTTGAGTTAAGGTATTAAGGTGGATTATACTTATATTATAAGTATAATAATAATGTACCGAAGTTCATAAAATACATTGCACTGCTCAATTAATTTTTACACATAATTGAATTAAAACTTCAAAGTTTAGACACACCTGCTAGAAAAGCTTTTCATACTTTACATCAAAACAGGGCAATAAATTAAAAAGCGCCTAAACAAAACGACCACAAATTTATCAATAAACTTTTTTGGTAAACAGACTCTTGATGTTAAACAAATGACCTCTACGTGCACCTTCACCGGCGACGGCGCCTCCGGCCTGACCGCCGGCGTCCGCGGCCGCGGCGGCGGCGACACCAAGCGCGCTGTTCTCATCGCTTTTGCAACTCAGATTGTGACGATAACCAATACACATCGGCACATTCAAACTCAACACTCTGCCTCTCGAGACTCCCCTGCCTCTGCTAGGCGGCGCCTTCACTTTCCGGCGGCCCTCGCTCCCTTCCCCCTTGCCGCCTCCCTCGCCGCTCAGATACGCCTCCGTCCTCCGCCCGGCTCCGCTGCCACCGCCGCGGCGGATCTGCAGGACGGGGCTGGTCCTGCCCAAATGCACCCCTCCGCCCCTGCTGGGGCTGTTGGGCGGCCACTTCCTGAGCTTGGACTCACCCGTGGAGTTGCTCCGGGAGCACGGCGCGCTGCTCACCTTCCTATTCGCCGCCGATCGCGGCCGATTACCGCCGTTTCCCGCGGATCTGCTCCTCGAGAACGGCCATATGTTGATATTCAGCTCCGCGGCGGCGGCTACACCTCCACCGCCGCTAACCTTCTTCTGATCTCGCCTCTTCTCCTTCACACAGCCGACCAAATCCTTCTCCTTCGTACTCCGATCTTCCCCGCCGCCGCCGCTGCCACCACCCGGAGACGAATCTAACCCCCTTTTTTCCCTAATTTTATGGAATATGTTCCCCCAGCGCTTGGAAGTAGCCGGCAATTCGTTTACCGTCAAAGGTTCGGGATCCGGAGCCCGATCCGGCCCGATACCATCACAATCCTCCGTCGCCGCCTCCGCCTGCGGCGGCGGAGGATCGTTTGATACATCCAGCAGGCGGAGGGGGAGGATGAAACCGTCGGAGAAGAGCTCGTCGGCGGAGAGGAGATCGGGCTGGGGGAAATTGACCCGATTTCTGACCATCCAAAACTCGAATTCCGGCGATTTGGAGTCGCAGCTGCTCCGCCTTCCGCTGCTGCACGGCGAGAGGATGAGTGGAATGGGCGGCGACTGTGAGTCCACCATTTTCACACGCTGTAACTGAAACGGTTTGTCTGTTTTCTCGCTTATTTCTTTTTTTTCTCTGAATAAATCTTTTTAGGGGGAATTATATAAAAAAAAAGGATGGAATGAGCATCGAGTATTAAAGAGGGTGAAAGCGACGTCGTTTTAATAGGGTTGGTTGAGATTTGAGGGACGATAGACACCTCTCGCGTCACATTTCATGTGCCTGTCGCTCTATAATTAGATCTACGGATTTCGAAGATAGGTGTTTGAAATATGACGCTGCTGGTAAGAGTATTTATTTATTTAAAATATTATAAAGAAAAAAATTATTATACAAAACCAAAAATGACATGAAATATATAGAAATAATATTATTCAATTAAGTACGTGTTGAGTGGTCGTCCGACTCGTCTCACCGGGTTCGGGCTAGCCTCGACTGGTTTCGAACAGCCACTGGTAGGCCCCAGACAACACCTAGTCTCGGACAGTGCTCGATAGAGCCCGAACAACACTCGATTTGTTCCAAATTAGTTGTCTCGGTATTTCTGCTTCAAACTGAAACTGAAAATTACCGATATATACTTAAATTTCATCAATTAATGAACACAGATATATTGAAAATGATGGAAAATAAATAAAGAGATTAATAGGAACGAATACACCCTTGACCGAGTTCTCGTACAAAGGCTGAATGCCACGAGGATGGGTCGAAAATGACAGGCTCAGTCCCCTTTCATAAATCCCTTAAAAATGTGTCACCAAAGAATCGATCGATGGACCCGTAGCCTCAATAACTCCGGCATTGTACGCCCAACGGTAACACTACCGACCGTCACACAAATGCTTGGCCCAAAATCATCCCGTACACGAAGCTCTTAAAAACCCCTCTCACAAAGACTCGGCTCACACAAAGAAGATCTCCAACACACTCAGGGGATGTTTGGATATCAAAATTTTTGGATTTGTTTGGATTTTTTGGTTTAGTTTGGTTAATTTTGAAAAAGGTTGTATGGTTAGTTGTTAGTGAGTATATTAAAATAATATTTAAAATATAATAATTAAAGTTGATTTGATATAAAAGTATGAGAGAGATAATTTGAAGTGATGGTTAGTTAAATTATGTGAGTGGATGAATAGTGAATTAAGGTTGATGTGATGTGTATAAACGATTAGTTGGTATTATTTAATTATAGTAAAAATATTGATGATAGTGGGGTTGAGTTAAAGTTGAGTTAAAAAAGTGGTTGAGTTAAAAATGATTGGATTTTTTTGAGATAATTTTGTATCCAAGCATACTCTCACAATCTCATTACCTCACATATTTCATAAGATAAGAGAAGTTAAGATCAATAAACACAATATCAAAAGGCAAGAAAGAGCGAGAAAACAATTTCAGTCGGCAGAAGGATGGTAGGGAGAGAGCAGCGATGGAACATAAACTAGTGTCCCTTTCCAAATGGACATCTCATAGGGTTTTAAAGAGGCAATGAATGGTCAATATCAAGTCACTTATCTATGTACGACAAATATCAAAATAGATCACAACGGGCTGCCAAACTGGGTTCAACCCAAAGTTAACGTTTGGTCTAGGAGTGTTAAATATTTGGACCATCGAAATTCATCTCATTTCATATACCAACAATACGAAATTCGTTTTTTGAGTGAACAAAAACTTTTACCAAAAGCCGATGATTATAACATTACAGAATATTCCGTTCATTACGAAACTTTCAATCTTCTTTTTCCTATCTCGTTTTATTCAGTTCGATCACCTCCAGTTATGATCACCAACAAGGAGCAAAAAATGCTTACACTATGTGACTCTAGCGATCAACTCATGACGACCTAACTCAATAAGGGCTCGTTTACTTCGGGGGACAGGATAGGATAAAGAAAGTAATCCCGTAATATCAATCGTTTACATTAATGGATTGGGACATGACTGATCTGATGTGGCATCCATGTGGCCGTCTGACATGAAATCTTATCATTAATTTTCCGATTATTTTTGTCCCACCTCCTACCCCAGATTATTTTATCCCATATTCTTCATGACATTTTTACCCTCAAAAGTGAGTGAGAAAATACATAAAACCCCCTATACATCCAATTATTTACAATTATATACCATTTAATATTACAACCCCTTAGCTGTTGTTGTAATCGAAAATACATAGTGCCCAGAGAGAGAGAGAGAGAGAGAGAGAGAGCGAGTTCATCGTTGAATCAGGTAAGATCGAATTTCATTCTTGTGTGTGCTTGTTTTATCGCAAAGACCAGAGTTCAATGATTGGTAATTTGTCTGCGTGTTTTTTCATCGTGTTGTCGGGTTTTCCTTCTTCTTTGTAGAATTGGTGATTCGATTTCTTCATTATCTGGGTTGTTGTTGCTTTTTTTTTTCTTATTTGTTTCTCCATTAATTCTTATTTGTTTCTTATCTGGGTTGGTGTTTCAGTAATTTGTTTCTTATTTTTTTTTTCATTATCTGGGTTGTTGTTCCTTCTTATTTTGTTTCTCCATTGTCT